ATATTTTTATATTATATATATATATATTTATAAAATTTAATTGGAATTTGTATGAAAATGTCTAAAAAATTAATGATTTTAAATGTACAGAATAAACTAAAGCATAATCTTAATTTATTTTTAAAAAGTCAATACTTTTAAAATGTTTTTGAATTAAATTTCGAAATAAAACCCAACTCTTATAATTCTAGGAAATTCCGTGCCACGGAGTCTGGAGTTCCAGCCAAGTCGCGATCCTCTAAAAGAAAGTGCTGCAAGTGGAGCCGAATCGTGGAGGTGAGTCATCTGTATTGCAATTGTGCGGATGAATTGAATTGTAAATGGCCACCTCGGTCGTGGAGCGGCGCATCGGCGCCCTGTATCTGACGCACTCCCGCGGATCGAATCGCCAGGCATAAGTCTCCTTGTTTCAAAGTATGTACTATATTCCTTGGCAACTACTTAGCAAACAGTCCGAGGCAACACAACGCAAAGCGCCCGCGTGTGATCACTCTTGCACTGTGTAATTCCACCGCCTCCATCAATGACTTATACAGTCCTAGATTCCGTCCTTTAAGAATTGTGTATAAATCCACATCCTATTTATTTCCATTTATATCTATTTCCGCAGTTGAAGCGGGAAATCCTTAATTTTAACGGTTATTTATTATTAACATTAATTAATATTAATAATCATTTTACATTAAACTTATTTATATTATTTAAAATCCCCACAAAACTCTTTTCTACAAGGTATTTTTCAAGAAATTAGAGGGCAGAGGAAAGTCATAAAATATATTTGAGACATGGTAAAAGAGAGAGATATTAAAAGATAATGTTGCACGAGAGCTTTATCATTTATGTTTATGAATTTACTGATACAATTTTTCTTTTTTATAAAAAAGAAATATTCGTAGAGCACAATTTTTAAAATAATAGTTATTTAAATTCAACAGATTTTGTCGTTAAAAAATTTGTTTACGTCTTCTCTTACACATTATATATACAGTATAATTAAATAAATTTTCGGTAAACAATCACGCGAATATATCGGTAGAAAGATACCGCGATAGCTGCGTCAATCAATCGACGGATCGATATCGCTGACAATGCGCTGATATCAAACATGCAACTCCGAATGGAAATTAATCGATCTCGCCGGTCGATGAACAAGACGGTGCATCGAACTGGCCGTCGATCAATAAAGCCACGAAAAAAAAAAAAAAAAATGGAAGAAAGGATAAAACGGGCACGCGAAGCCATATATCAGAAGCCAGAAGCCGACTCGCTTAATTGAGAAACTACATTGTGCGTCGTTCGGGGGTGCCAGATACGGTCGAGTAGTCCCTGGGCCACCCCTGACTCGTTCGCCTTCGTTCCCCGTTCCGTCCTATCCCGTCCCGTGTTCCTCTTTCATCCTTCATCCCCCGAAACTGACTCGTCTCCTCTCCTCGACCCCTGCGTATCGAGTTCGTTACAGATCCCCGTGGCGAGATCCCCGCCCCTCTCCCCCCGCCCGTCTGTCCACTCTCTCTCGCACCCCCCTTGTACGCTCCTCAGCTTCGTCGGCCCCGTCTCGCCCCAAAAGAGAGAAAGAGAGAACAAGGGTGAGAGCGAGAGAGAAAGAGAGAGAGAGAGAGAAAGAGAGAGAGAGAGAGAGAGAGAGAGAGAGAGAGAGAGAGCGAGACCGGCACCCTCCTGTCGGAGGCTCTCGCGTAGCGTAGCATTCGCGATTTGCGCAACTCCGCACAACTCCGTGCGAGCGCGAGACGCGTTCGTTTTCTCTCCGTGTGTCCCAACAACACCACACACGATTTGACCTCGTGCGCATCCTTGCCGTATCTTCCTCATCTCGAGATCGCAGGACGAGAAGAGAAGGAAAGAAGAGAAAGACAAGAGTTGTCCTCCGGAAAGCGGTCGATTTCTCCAGGAGGAAGAAATTTGCGTTCCGGGAAAACTCTGCGACGGAATTCGGGAGCACGAAGACGACATCGGAAACAGCGGGGCCTCGAGGGTGCGAGGAGATAGAGGGAGAGAGAGAGAGAGAGAGAGAGAGAGAGAGAAAGAGAAAGGGAGAGAGAGGGCGCGCTTCTAAGCGTGCGCGCGCGAGTATTCGTATCGGCGAGTCGCGGATATCGAAGTCGAGGATCGGTCGTCTCGTCAAGGATCCGTCTCCCTTCGTCGTCGAGGTCGTACGCCATCGAACGAAGCCGTCGAAGCCGATCGATCGAAAGCGCGCGGCCGAGAGTTCGATACGACGCCGACGTCGTAGAGTCTCTCTCTCCGTAGCGGGCGGCCATTGATCTCCGTATCGACGCCAGCCACGACCAATCGTCGGCGACCCCTCTTCTTCTCTCGGCCATCCCTTGGTGTTTGCCTGTGTGTGCGTGTGTGTGGGCGCGCGGATTCCGTGTCGCTCGATCAAGTTATCTTGCAGATCGTTCGTTTACGCAGCCTCCACGGAAGAAAGACGACATCTTGGAAGAAGGAAACAGCTCGGAATAGTCATGGAGGATGATGC